ATAAAAAGGAGTGAACCACTGAGACAGGCTACAACATGGATGAAGTCAAAACACCACGCCAAGTGAGAGAAGCTGGACACTAGAGGTTGTGACGTTGTGTGATTCCACCACCGTGGACAGTCCTGAATGGGCAGATCCGAGACCGGAGGGGATTGCTGGTTGCTGGGGCTGAGCCAAGGGCTGGGGAGTGAATGCTAAGGGGCTGGGTTTCTGTTTGTGGTGATGAAAATGTTCTGGAGTTAGTGATGATGGTCACACAACCCTGTGAATATATGAAAAACTGCGGAATTGGACACTTTTTTTTTTTTGGACACTTTAAAAGGGTGAATTTTACGGTAAGTGAATTACATCCCAAAGAAGCTGGTATTAAAAAATCAACACGTGTTTAAATTTGGGAGTAAAGGAAATGTTACATCATCTTATTAATTATAAAAGAAGGAGAAAAATAAAGATTCTGTTATAGAACTTCGGGGCCCCCATTGGGTGTGGAGCCCTCCCTGAGAGGCCAGGGAAGCGGGGGCCGCATCATTCGCCCTCCCAGCTGCATGTGCCCCCCGAGGCTTAGGAGCCCAAGCTTTGGAGGCCCACACGACTCCACCACATGTGCACCCTTCCTTCAGGTCCCCGAAAGGCCTGCCTTGCCCCTGTCCCCTCAGGACACTCCTGTGCCTCCCGCTCTGCTCTCTGGGACTGTCCCGCCATCTGTCTGCCCCCCCATGGGACCTGAGCTCCAGAGGACCTGGGCTCCCCGCTGTCTCACCTGCACCTGCACCCACGCAGCTGTCAGGCAAGGCCGCCTCCCTGTGCTGTGTCCTGTGGGGGGTGCTCAGGGAGGCGGCCTGGCTGCACTGAGTCTGACCACTAGACTGGCTGCAGCTGCCCAAGCCCACTCAGAGGCAGACCCACCCCAAAAAGCACCTATTGAGTGGGCTCCCTTTGGGCAAGGCCAGACCCCGCCCATCCCACTAGTGAGCCCACCTGGACCCTGTCCCCTCTCCCTGCCATCCTCAAGCATTTGTTCACACTGTGCACTGACACTGTTGGTCACGACCACCCTCTCCACCTCACATATGAGCAAACTGATGACACGGTGCTGTCATCTGCTGGGTCCTGCCCCTGGAGATGTGTCTGCCTGGGCGGCTGTGTGCCTGCAGCTGCCCGCCGGCCTGACCAGGCTGGGGAGCCAGGGCAGCCTGGACTTGGGGGGACTTGGGGCTCCCTGGCACTGCAGTCTTGGGGAGCCCAAGTGACAGCTGTGGGGGGCAGGAGGGCACTGGCTCCAGCTCTGTGGCCTTGAGCAAGCTACTTAAAGTCAAAAAGTCTCTGCACTGGGCCTCAGCGCACTCGCCTGTGACACAGAGTGATGCCCTCTCGGCCCAATAGTGACAGCCGTTGAGATGGCTGCTCCAGGCAGCAGAGCATCATCACCAGCCTGGGTCACGCGGTCTGCAGTGTCCTTCTGTAGCACCGGCTCATGCGAGCCTCAACCAACCAGCAGGACAGATGGCAGTGCTTGTTCTCCCTGTCAGAGCTGGGACAATGGAGGCTCAGAGATGCCAAGTGACCTGGCTAAGGACACACAGCGATCCTGGCAAGGCCCTGGCACTCAAGGTCTCCCCAGGGATCCTTCAGGCTCCCCCTTCCCAGATCCCAGGACCTGCTGGTGAGCCCGGCCCAAGGGTCCTTGCAGGAGGACTGTGACCTGTCCACTAGCTGCTTAGCTGTCGCCTCCAGTGGTCATGGGTCAGCAGAGGGAGCGAGCTCCTGTCACCAGGGGGCATGGAAGCAGGGCTGCCTGAAACCACTCCTAAGGCTCAGGGAGCATGCAGCGCTCAGTCAGGAACAGGTTCCCACCACTCCCCCAGGGCCTGGGCTGCCCCGAGATGCGTGGGGATGTTGCTGCCGTACTTCACACATCTGCCGGCTGTGGGTGGGCAGCGGCCGCAGGTGATGATGTGAATGGCCAGCCACCTCCCCCATCGCCAGGCAGGCGAGATGCTCACACACGCCAGCACAGCCCGGGGAGCAGGGAGGAGGCCAGGTAGGCGTGCGTCTGTCTGGAACACACTTCCCTCCATCCCTTCTCGGGTTTCCTTGGACAGGCTTGGGCATGTCCATCACGGACGGGCTTGGGACTCTGGGTGCCCTCCTGGACTGACCGAATCTTGGAGGAATTGGCAGCCTTTCCAGGTGGACAAACCAGGATGGCCAAGCCAGTTTTGCAGGGGGGAAGCTGAGGCTCGGTGAGAGCAGGGCTTGCCCGGGGTCAGGCAGTTACCAGAGCAAGGTCGAGGGTCTCTAGGCTCCACAGGGAAGATAGAAATATCCTCACCTGCCCCTACCTCAGCCTGGAAGGCCTGCATCCTCGGGTCCTGCTCCGATCCCTGCCCTACAGGGTCTTCTCCTCCTCCTGGCAGAGCCACGTCCGCTGTTGTCTCTTCCCCGTCCGAGCTCTGGGCTGGATGCCTGTCCCACAAGGTAGACGTAAGGATTGGAGAATATATTTAGCAGGAATGTGCCACGTGCCCAGCCAGGGCCTGCTGCCGTGGAGCCACGGCCCTCTGGGGAAGAGGTCCTGATCTGTGCAGTCTCCCTGCATTACTGGGCTTCACTGAGCAGAGTTGGGAAGAGACGCTGGCCCTCAGGGGTCTGTCTCTGCCGGCTCTGCCCCCTGGAGCTGCTCTGGGTGACAGTTGGCTTAGCACGCCTTCCCTCTAATTGTGATGGCTTGATGCTGCATGATTAATTTGTGCCATAGGCTTGGAGCCCACAGTATCCCTCCTGTCTGCAAGTCTCCATGTGCCAGGCCAGGGGGCTGGGGCCGACATGAGAGCAGGAGGCATTTCCCCCAGGGCCAGCTGCCTCCCGGTGCCTTTGCTCCCTCATCTGGCGTGGGCGGTGGACCACATCACAGAGTTACTTGTGGAGGCCCAGGTGAGAGCGGGAGTCCAGGGCCTTGCTCCGAGCAGGCGCAGAAACCAGTCATGCAGTCTTCACGGTATGCCACCTCCACGCCCAAGAGCGGGGCTTGTCTCTGGGAGTCCAGAGGGGTCAGGGGGAGGGAGGGGTCAGGGATGGCTGGGGTGGGGGTGTGGCATTTGACAGTGATGGGGGAGAAAGAACACTGTGGACCAAGAGGCTTCTGAAGCCTCTCCACGCCCCTATCCACGCCCCTATCCACCGAATTCCCAGCTCAGCCTCTGCCTTTGGGACCTGGCTTTCTCTAACGGCAAAATAGGCATGTTGGTTACAGTCGACGCCCTCCTGGTGGTGAGGTCCTGACGCATCCTGGTGAAGAGGGAGGAGGGAAGGACACTCCAACGACCGACCTGGCTTAGCTAGCCTTGGGTTGGAGTCTCGGGGTGGGAGGCGGGGGTCAGGCTTCATCCTGAGGTTGGCGAGACACCCGGCCCCAGGCCTTCGCCTTCCAGCCTGCCCATTCTGCCCTGGCACAGGGCTCCGAGGTCTGGGGCGCCTGCTGGGCCCGGTGAGGCGGTGAGTCTGTGCCTCTTCTCTGGGACACGTGGGGTCCTCCGCAGACAGCGGCCCCGCGGGATATTCCAAAGGGCCTTTTGGGGGCAGGAGTGCTGTCTGGAGCAAGAGCGTCACCGCCGCAACAGGCCTGCGCGCTGGCGGGGCTGGGAGCCGGCCCGCAGGTGGCTGCGCGCGCCCGAGGCCAGGTGG